TGGTGAGGCTGGTTTTCTCAGAGCCATTTTTCTTGACTAATTTTAGTTCTTTTTTAAAAAGGATGTAATTAAAAGTTACTTCAAGTAAAATCACATAGGGGAATTATAAACAAATACGTTGCTATTAGTGGTTGTGTTTATGATAGAGTTTCGAATATTTTCTTTGCTTCTCTAAGTTTCTCTGTAACATGATTTATATTTATAATGCCAGTAACTCATTTATTTTTGAAAGTAATGCTTCTAACATAAATGAAAATCTAGTCTTGAAAATTTTCTAAAGCTCTTATTTAAACTGGCATCTGCTGGATTTTTAAAATATAAAGTACATTTTTAAAATGTGCCATTTTTCAGAGCGCCTGGGTGGCTCAGTCGTTAAGCATCTGCCTTAGGCTCAGGTCATGATCCCAGGGTCCTGGGATCGAGCCCCGCATCGGGCTCCCTGCTCGGCGGGAAGCCCGCTTCTCCCTCTCCCGCTCCCCCTGCTTGTGTTCCTGCTCTCGCTCTCTGTCAAATAAATAAAATCTTTAAATAAATAAATAAAATAAAATGTGCCATTTTTCTTCGGGCAACGATGTAATAATTAAACGTAGTATCTAATACGGATCTCAAAAAATATATACTTGCACTCTATGCCCCTCCTTTAAGAGTGAATCTGGCTCATCATTTTACTGGCAGGCTTCTTCAGTCTTCTTTTTAAGCCCCTTTCAAGTAGTGTGTCACCACGTTCTGGGGTCATTACTCTAGGAAGATTTTTAAATTGCCAAAGATGAAACTTCCTCATGTAATTACCGTGTGGAGTCATGAGAACAGAGCTTCACTATTGGCCTTTTCTGATTTTAGAAGTATTCATGGAACCTGAAGAATTACTTGTCTGATTTTTTTTTTTTTTTTCAGATTCAACACCAAAAAGCAGGGAGAACACTCAGATTAAATGAAGGCTACATTTGTCTATTATTTGAAGGGAGGTTACTACTGTGTTACTGAGAATTTTTTTTCTTATATCATCACAAACCTGGAAAAAAATTCACTTTTTACTATTGATTGTATTATTCACAACACTAATGCAGATACAGGCAGCCAGCTCTTCACTGAGAGAATTCTGAGTGAAAGTGCCTTGCCACTGTTCTCCAGAGCATATTACTTTGCACCTCTTCTGTGAAGGCCAGGAAAATGGCTTCTTGTAAGGTACTCTTTTAAGTAGTACAATTCAAAATAGAATATTTTAACAATGATTTTATATAAACTCATTGGATACCAGTAATGTAATTACAGTGCACCGGGGAATATCACATTAATGTGTTTTGGTGGGGAGATTTCTCACCTGCTTGTCAGGGGTGTTGTCACAGTCATGGGAGATCATGGGTTATCAATTACTCTGCATTAACATCATAATGCCACAAGAATGGTATGTACCTGCTATCCCACCCCAGAAGAGTTGGTGTGCCTGCCTCTTAGTTATCAAGTGCCAGGTGTTTTGTGATGACCACCCGCCCAAAAAAGGTTTTCTCTATTATAGCTGAAAATGCATTTTTTTTATCCTACAGGGAAATTTTTAATGTTCGACTTCAAACAAACAAAACGGACCACCACAATGATCTATTTTAAAACTAGTTTTTCAAACATACGAAGTATTTGACTTTTCCCAGTGGTTCCTCTGTGCTTCAAAGACCCTCCTGCAAGTTTGCGAGTTCTCTGTGGTAACAGAATCTGCTGTGTAAGAGTTCCAGATCAAAGGTAAGGGGTAAGAATACCATCGTGTAAGATTGGGCCAGAACTTGGGTTAGTTACCTCCCGTGTTACACAACAAAGTCAACAAAAACACAAATGTTATCCCTCTGTATAATAGAAAATAGACACTTCGGTCTTGATGAAATTTTTGTAAGAGTTTCTTAGTTCTTGACACCAATAAATTACTCTCCATGATTTCAGTATCAGGTTACAATTTGGGCTTATAATTGTCATGATCACTGCTGTACAAAGGAGGGATGTTTTGAGGGAGTGATGTCGAGTTGAGTTGTAAGGTTTCCAGTTCTCTGGATGGCTTTATTAGAAGATCTGTGAACTTGGGACAAGCAATGGTACTTCCTTCCTCTCAGCTCCCTTCTGTAGTCCCAGCTGCCTCTGTAATTACTGTTGACTGTTGTCCCAGGTGGGTCTCCTGTAATCAAGAGCCACCTACGAGTGGTTGGGGCCAGGTGTGCACCTTTCTCTCTGCAGTTAGCATTTTCCCTAAACTTGTTACTATTTGAATTCTAGCAAAATAAAATGTTGCCTCAAGTTGCCTCATGCCATCCTGAAGCTTGTCTTTGATAGGAAGTGGGACTGAGCCTGGCCTACCATCTTGTCATTGTAATAGCAATGAGCCAGGTCTTAGGATCCCGAATGCATTCCTCCTGAGAAGATGTGGTTTGCAGGTTCCCTCACTGACTCAGGTTGGTCGCTCCTTTTCTCTTGAAGGAACACTGAAAAATCTGCAGCAGGGGAGAATTATGTTGCATGTTTACTTTTGCTACAGACTGAGAAAACTTTGGCATAGCTACTTACCTATTTCTGTTCTTAATACAAATAAAGCTTTCAGCTTAATATAGTAATGCTATTAATTGCCTAGAGCAGAACAGCAGTGCCATTACTTTTTTTTAATGGAGTTTTATAATTGTTCAGTAACATATGGAGACACAACCGTCATGTAAATTAAAAAAAAAAAAACTGTCTACAAAAATATAGCTTGTGCATTTGAGGGACCATTTCTTTGTTATTAATTTAGAATATGAAGAAAGGAAGATCTCAATATAAAACTCATTTGAAACCATTTGTGTACTTGTTACACTTTTTTTGGTTCTTAGCACAAATCCCCTTGGGAGAGTGCATACACAATCATGACCTTCCAGCAAACCTTTCATGGTGGTGGTAGCTTCTGCAGCAGGTGACCACTTTGGACATTTAATGTTTTAGGGGTTTTTTGCATGGTATTCTTACATAACGAGATATTTTGTTTGGTGTTTCTTAAATCTCAAAGATTCAGCTGATAACAACTTCTACGATGTGACTACCACTGTACAGATGTAGAAACTAAGGCATAAGACCTAACATTTTCACCCCAAAAAAGAAAGTTTTGTGTTTTTTCTTTCAGTGAGTTACACCAGTCATCCCGGGGAAGAGAAGTATAACTACAAGGAATGACACTATTGTAAGTATTCATTACATTTTTTATGTGGTTTTAATTCATACTTGACTGAACAATTAGAAAAGGCTAATTCTAGATACTCTAATCAAACAAATGAATTGGCATCTGTACACATACACCTACTCACACTTGACATTTAAAGCCCCAGAATTTAAGCATTCCTTTAATAATACCTGAAGCTTTTGCAAGAAGTATAACGGTTGATCTCTTTACTTGTATTTCTGGAACATCAATGGCCTAATAATACATTTTTTTTATTTGTTTTTAATGCTGAGTACAAAACTCAGAAATATTGAGGTACATTTAACAAGCATATGAACTGAAATTAAAGCTTCTGAATAAGACTGGTTAATACAAAATTACACCACTTACAGCATTACAGACATTTGGATATTAAGATCAAAATGGAAGAAAAAAGTTCCCAGGGTCCCTGAATAAGAGAGATTACTACTGAATTTTTTTTCTCTTTTAAATATAGACTAAAATTCTTAAATAGTGCAGAGGATCATAGGGGAAGGGAGGGAAAACTGAATGGGAAGAAATCAGAGAGGAAGACAAACCATGAGAGACTACTCTTGACTCTGGGAAACAGGGTTGCAGAAGGGGAGGTGGGTGGGGGTGGGGGGGATGGGGTCACCCGGTGATAGGCATTAAGGAGGGCACGTGATGTGATGAGCACTGGGTGTTATACGCAACTAATGAATCAATGAATACTACATCAAAAACTAATGATATACTATATATGCTGGCTAATTGAATTTAAATTAAAAAAGATTAAATTATAAATTCAATAAGTTTAATAAATTGGGCTACTCAAAAAAAATATATAGAATAAAATTCTATAAAAGATACGCTCAGAAACCTATCAATTAAATTTTGTTCTTACTATAGCTTCAGATTTGATTTTAATATACTGTCATTGGTTGGATCATTGCCTGTGACAGGGCAAGTCATATAATAGTAAGAGGTATTCAATAAATGTATCACAAAGCAAAGTCATTTTAAAAAATCTTTCAGTTTGGCTGGCTCATTCAGTGGAGCATGAGACTCTTGTTCTCAGGGTTAAGTTCGAGCCCCACTTTGGGTATGGAGATCACTTAAAATCTTTTTTAAAAAAACCTTTCAATTCAGATTATCCTAGCCCATAGAATGGTTCAAATGTAATTTGGAATCCCTATAGCATCTGTCAGTTTGAATCTGTGAACAGTACCAAAATGAGCAAGTATTATGTTCTTTTCATAAATGAAAAAAATGTTTAAAATACGCATTTCTTAGGAATTACAGTTAATAGCAATATCATGTGACTGACCTTTAGGGAATTTACTACTAAAAGACACTGAAGAATATATTTAATAGTTGACACGATTACGGGATTTAGCAGTCTCACACCTATCTGGAGTGACATTTAATCTCTTAAAGATATCTTAAAATAATTACGTGGAAAATCTTTCAAAACTAAAACAGCTTTCAAAAGGCAAAACTGTACCCATGTGAGAAGGGGAAAGAAATAGTTAAAATTTTATTAGACACAGTTTCTTCTTTTCAGCCTGTGAATGTAGTACTTTTGTAAGCCATGAAGATGCCTCTGAATATCATTTCATGCCTCAAGATGATAGTTCGTACTCTTCTATCAACTTCATTGCATGCTCACTCCTTCGAAGGTAGTGAGTTTCATACAATAGTCAAGGTTTCAGAGAAGCCTTTGTCCAAACCAAACCCAGTTTCTCTAAGTGTCATTTATAAGAATATGCAAACAGTCCTCCAGCACTCCTCTCTCAACCACAAAAAAAAAGGCAGAAAGGAGTACTGATTATACTTAAAAAAGATTTTTTTATTTAATGCAGTGAATGTATAGTCAACATTACCATTGAATTTAACATCTGAAAGTTGGTAGAATGAAACAAAAATTAGGCATCTGTTAATGGTTACTATGCCGCAGGTACATCTGAAGTTGTACAGTATCAGGCTTGTAGACATTTGAGTAGACACTGTCAGCACGGAACATAAATCTCACACAAGGTCTAATCAAAAGGTATTTCAAACAAATTATCCCATCAATAAACTTTCTGTGGGAACATCAGCTTCATGGAGTATTATGTCTAAGCAACAAACAGTGATGGTATGCGGGTAGGAGCATGTTATTATAAACACGGTGAGCTAAATAGAGCATATTGAGGTCAAAGCCTTTCTGTAGAAAGGGAATTTAATTGACATTCTCTTTCAAGCATAGTGTATAAACAGATCAAAATAGTTCTATCATAAGAAATAGTATTTAACAACGTCGCTTTAAAATAAAAATACTTTAAAAATTAGCTTTGATGAGATTAAATTTATTTTTAAAGAATCTTCCTTTAGAGTGAAATATATATTTCTGGCTTCTGGCTTTTCTGTTTTTCCATCATAACCCACCCCCCCCCTTCACTCTATCCCAGTCTATTAATAAAGTAGTGCAAAACATTTTCTACAGCATTTCAGCCAAGCTTAATCCGCTACCCAGTCAGGGAAGTAAAACATTCTCACCAAATTATTTCTCTCTCCAGAGGTATACTCCCTTGATTTATCAGGGAGCTAGGTACAAAACTACCATAAGTCTTGGGAATGAAATTTTTAAGTATAGATTCTATGGTAAGTAGTGAAACATTTTTTTAAAGGCAAACTCCCCCCTCCCAATAAGCAGTTTTTTGTTGTTTTTGTTTTTTGATTTTTTTTTTGTTTTTTACAAAATAGGTTTCATGCATTCATATTATCAAGAACGATTGATTAGTTTTTCTATAAATGAATATAATGAAACACTGGCATATCACTTAGCACATTAGCATTCTATACATTAAAATTCACACTAACAAACAAAAATCATACTATGCATTAAAGCATTTCAGTAATCTATGAGAAAGCAGATACTTTTTGTGTGTGTGATAACACTTGAGTATTAAATATTTTTAGAGGCACAGAAACACCAAAAGCAACACGGATTTAGGTTGCTAGTATTTTTGACAACTGAACTGGGTTGCTAACTTGCTAACCTGGTACAAATTAAAGTAGTGGTAGGTATAAAAATTCAGATAGGCAATCATTTATAAACCTGGCAGTATTTATGTGTAATCCTGTAGAGATTTTAAGGTTTTAGATGGAATGATAGAAGCTTTGGAAGTTTTCTTTGTAGAGTGTGAAAGATTATCTTGACAGAGTGAATGTACCTTCCACTCATTAGCTTAAAATAAGCCGAGTCATATCTCAGTAATTTGCACAGGAATGAAAGTCAGGATCTGAAGTCAGAATCTTAGTTAAATTGAAATGCATCTGTTCCATAATTCAGATTTTGGGATTTCCCCCTTCTCTTTTGACATGTATAAAACATAGAAAACAACTGTAATGGATTACTTTTCAGATAAAAAATAGTCACATTAAAAAAAAAACTTTAAAAATCAAATTGACATTTACGTTTTATGTAGATTTAATCAGGGTACAGCTGAGCATTTAATGTAATATTCTGGTGCTTCCACTTGTAATTAGAGAAGTGTATATCTCCCAACGTTACCATGCTTCTATTTGTTGTTCCAGTGTGTTATGTTATTATCCACAGCCAACAAGGCTTTCACACAGCAACAGCTAAACCTTTAGCAAATTGAGTCTGTACAATGGAAGTATATTTTCAAAGACATATGCCTTTGTACGCTATTTACAAATTCTCTCGATCATGATAAAAAGGCAAAATAAATAAAAAGCAGGAAGAAAGGAAATGCTGCTGAGGCTGAAGGCTTTTTCTTTTATCTTCCCAAACAGATGCTGGTCTCCTCAGTGCTGGGAGCTGGCTAGCCAAGATTGTTTTTCTTCCTTTTACATGGGCTATGAGAAGTATCTGGTTTCAGTTCTTGGTATTGCACCTGTTTAAACAGAGTTCAGAGAAAGACTGGTCAGGTGGTCACTTTCTGGCAAAGGAAGGAAAAGCAAAGGAATGAGAGACTGCTTAGAGACAGGGTGGGAAGAGTGTTCACCCTGGAAGGTCTATGAGATCTGCAGCTGGGATGCAGAAAACAATAGAATGATAGAGCAAGAATCATAAGGGAAATCCTGCCAGAAATTACATGAGAGCACTGTTGTGAACTCTGGTAACAGGCTGCCTCTTCACTGTAACACTACATTAAAAGCAAAACCATCTTTATCTTAATTTTGAAAGGCTGGATAACGGTTCTTTGCAATTTACTGTTTGTTTAATTTAGGCTTAATCTCCCTCCAGCCTACTCTCAATGTCGGATACCAAATCGAAAACTCAACTGAAACAAAGGAAGAAAGGTATTGCTGCAACATAGTGTCAAGATTTTGATAAAAACATTTCTCGGGCACCTGGGTGGCTCAGACTGCCTTCGGCTCAGGTCATGATCCTGGAGTCCCGGGATTGAGTCCCGCATCGGGCTCCCTGCTCAGCGGGGAGTCTGCTTCTCCCTCTGACCCTCCCCCCTCTCATGCTCTCTCTCTGTCTCTCATTCTCTCTCTCAGATAAATAAATAAAATCTTAAAAAAAAAAAAAAAAAAAAAAAAAAACATTTCTGGGGCGCCTGGGTGGCTCAGTTGGTTAAGCGACTGCCTTCGGCTCAGGTCATGATCCTGGAGTCCCGGGATCGAGTCCCGCATCGGGCTCCCTGCTCGGCAGGGAGTCTGCTTCTCCCTCTGGCCCTCCCCCCTCTCATGCTCTCTCTCTATATCTCATTCTCTCTCTCAGATAAATAAATAAAATCTTAAAAAAAAAAAACAAAAAAAAAAACATTTCTGGGGCGCCTGGGTGGCTCAGTTGGTTAAGCGACTGCCTTCGGCTCAGGTCATGATCCTGGAGTCCCGGGATCGAGTCCCGCATCGGGCTCCCTGCTCGGTGGGGAGCCTGCTTCTCCCTCTGACCCTCCCCCCTCTCATGTGCTCTCTCATTCTCTCTCTCTCAAATAAATAAATCTTTTAAAAAAAAAATTTCTCATTTATTCTGAAAATAATTGATGATTAAGAGGCATGAGTTAACCTCAAAGAATTTTAAAGGATTGAGATGTGCCCCAGTCTTGAAAAGGCAGGTACTCTCCACCCCTTTCCCCCACTGGTCTCCAAAATATGCATTTTTAAAACTCAATTCCTGTAAATTATGCAAAGAAGTGTTTTTCAAATTTTCACTGGCACATCTTGCTTTCAGCATCTATATTCCTGTTTCCTCCCTTCAGGTAATGGTGACTTCCCTTCACAAACCAGGTGAACCTTCCTTGGAGGAAAATTGCCCCTATGAGCCCTGGTAGGTTCTTGATGCAACCCCCTCTTGTTCTCCATTCCCCATGCTTTATAAAAGTTCTTCTTGGGTAACACCCCAAGTGGGCTAAATTCCTGAAAGGGAAAATCTGCTATAGGCCTTTTAACTTTAAGTGGTTCTTCTAAAACCTTTGAAATTAAAAGGATGAAAAGTGAAAACCCAATGCCACCATACGGTAAAGAGCAGTAATAGTGAAACCTACATACCACTTGTACATCTGAAGGGACTCTGGAAAGGAAGTCAAGTAGTTCATTGTTATCAATTGCATATGGACTCCGAAGCTTTTTTGTAAATTTATTGATGCCTGAAAAAGCCATAGATAAAACATTATTGAAATCTCCAGTTAGGAATTAGAAAAATCACGTATATTTCCATATGTTACAGTGATTTGAAGATCTAGACTAAGCTGCTCTTCAGTCTCCACTGAATGAACCAGTACACCCTGTTTTCTCCCTCCCACCCTCCCTCTCCCCCATTCCTGTTTCTTTCTCTCCTTTCCTTTGTTCCCTTCCTCCCTCCATCCCAAATCAAGGCAGCTCTGTTTTTTCTTTTTACTTTAGTGGCTTCCTCCCAGCAGGAAAGGCTTTTTATTTGGGAAACAAAAGGCACCTGGCAAGGATGTACAATGCTATATCTTGCTTTGCCACTCAGTGTCATATTACTTAGAAGCCTTGCTTTAGTATTTCATCTATAGTAAAACTTTTCAAGGCAAAAAGTCTGATTTACTGGTTTTCCCTTTTTCAAAAGATAAACCTTACTGTTTTTTGGAGTGGGGAGGTGTTAATGTTATGCAAACTAAATGTTTAGAAGACAGCTATCCTTTTTTTTTTTTTTCCTTTTAAATGACCTGAAATGTGAAAGTTTTACCGCCAGCTTTTTAAAAAAAAAAAATAAACAGCTTTAAAGATGGTGATGCAAGAGGATCCTGAACTCTCCTCCCACATATGGGGTGCTGAGCCAAGGCCCACTATGAAGCAGGTAGGAGAGGCTGGGACATAAACTCCTCATAAACCTTGCCCTCAGTGTGGCAACCCATGGTCAGGAGGGAACTCAAAAGCTGTAGCTTCTCCTTAAGGAGTGAAGGGTTTGAGGCCCACCCACATCAGGCACCCCCAGCTTTTAACATGTGCATCTATGAGACGACTCTCCAAAATATCTACCTTTGAAAACCAATGGAGCTCATGTCCACGGGACCCACAGGCTACAGTGATCTGAGAAATGGTTCTTAAAGGACTTGCATGCTTGGAGTCACCCCAGAGCCCAACATGGAAGCAGTTAATTGAGGGGTACCTGGACTTTGGGAGAGCCTCATTTGCTTGTCTTGGAGCATCAGCCCAAGGGGTGGGCATCTGGTTAGACAAACATTCAAGGGTCTGCTGGGGTGCTCTCGAGCCAGAGACTGGGGGTGCCATCTTTGCACTTTCCTTCTGCCTTGCTCCAGCTGGTGGATGCTTATCTCCACACTCTCCCTTTGCCACACTCCACAAAGGGTATCTCCCCGAGGGAAGCTTTTACATGTGTATGGTGCCCCAGTATTATGTCTGGTTTTACATCTAAGAGGTGGCTCGATAGGGCAATGTAGGAAGATCTTGAACTCACCCCTTCCCATGATCACACCAAATCTACAGCTACATATGGAACACTTAGTTCCCTCTGAGAAAGACCTGAAAACTAGCTGAGTGACTTCTTCACATCAGGGAAACAAGAGAAAGGCCAAGGGAAGTGGGTAGGAGAGGCTGAGACAAAATCTCATTATAAATCCTACCCCAGCAAGGCAACCCACAATTACAACGTAACTCACAAACATGGAGCTTCTCTCTGAAGAGCAGCGGGTTATACCCTGTATCAGGCACCCCAGCTTTTAAGTCCTACAACTGAGAGATGAGCCCCCAACACATCTGGCCTTGAAAATCATGACATAAAGAGCTGTTGTGAACTGAGAAATGGCTCAATGGGCTCGTGTACATACTCACTTGCCCCAGGGTGCAGCATAGAAGCAACCATTAGAAAAGCATCCAGACTTTAGCAAATGAATCTCTTTCATATAACCTTAAAGCTTCAGCTGGTGGGGCTGGGGCCTGCTGGGATACTCTGCACTCTCTATCTGCCTTGTAAAGCCGGTGGGTGCCATTTTTACCCTCCAACTGGCAAGCACCAGCTTCATGCTCTCCCTCTGCCATGCTTCAGAGCACCAACATTTCCTGGAGTGGAGCTTTTACACACATCTGGTGCCTTGGTTTTTGTGGCTGCTGGCAAGGGGACACCCCTTGATTGCTGGGCTCAGTAGTTCAGGGTGGCTTCCATTCCTGAGTTGCATGGGACTCTAACACTCAGACCGTTCTTGGCAGACTACCATCCCCAGGACACTGTACAGACAGTAGACTGTAAGACACCCCCAGTCTTTCTGAGAAACAAGCCTATTTGCTTATAGAAGAGCTGGTCAACCCTCAGGTCTGGCACACTTACAAGAGTTTATAGAGTTCTCAGGGAACAGTCCACTAGATGCAGTCTTTGCAGTCTCTGCCACACTATAGCTTATAAATATCTCCCAGTAAGGAGCTTCTATCCTTGTTTGACACCCCTGACTTTTGTAGCTGCTGCTGAGGAACACCTGTGTATCACCTGGCTCTGGTGGCCAATGTGATTATGCTTACAGGTCCCACAGGACTGTAACCAAAAAAAAAAAAAAAAAAAAGTTTTTAAACATCAACGACCCTGAGGACATAGCTAGAGTTAACAGACTCAGATGCTCAGTCTTTGTCACAGACCCCTAAGCTTATCATCCTAGTTACTGCCTAAGGGGCAGGCTTCTAATTAAACACACATGTAAGGGCTGACTGTAAACTTCTCCAGAAACCTTGGAGAGTAGGCTCTGTGCCATGCTCCAGAGCAGCAGTCTCTCTCAGAGGGGAGGTTTTACATATAACTCGTGCCCTGGTTTTTACAGCTGCCACTGAGGGAATACTCCCTTGATCTCCTAGCTCTGGTGGCCATGAGGCTTGTATTTCTGGGTCCCACAGGACTGTAACAGTTAAAGAGAGTTTTTGGCAGGCTACCACCCCCAGGGCCCTGCACAGACATCAGGCTAAAACACATCCACAGTCTATCTGTGAAAGAGACCTATTGCATTGTCCTGGAGCTTCAGGCCTGCATGGCAGGCTTCAAGTTTGGCATACATCTAGAGACTTAGGAAAGTGCTCTGAGGAAATGTATGCTGCCGAATGCCATCTTTGTGCTGTCGCTGCAGCACGCTGGCATCTCCTTGAAAGGAACTTACATGCTCATGTGGAGCCCCCAAAATATAACTACAATAATTAGTTAAGGAATACACAAGATTAAAAGATGTTAAATGTAACATCAAAAGCAGAACATGTGGGTGAAGAGTTAAAATGTAGAGCTTTAGAATGCATCCAACCTTACATTGTTACCAATTTAAAATGGACTGTTATAAGTTGTAATATGTAAGCCTCGTGGTAACTGCAAGGCAAAAACCTATACTAGACACACAAAAGATAATAAAGCAATCAGAGCATACCAGCAAGGAAAGTCATCAAATCACAAAGGAAGAGAGCAAAAGAATAAGGAACACAGAGGAACCACAAAACAGAAAACATTAACAAAATGCCAATAGGTACATACCGATCAATAATTAGTTAACTGTAAATAAGATAAATTCTCCAGCAAAAAAGTATCAAATGGTTGAATGGATAAAAAAACAAGACCCATCTATATATATGCTGCCTCTAGAAGAGACACATTTCAGATGCAAAGACACACACAGACTGAGAGTGAAGGAATGGAAAAACATACTCCATACAAATGAAAACCAAAAGAAAGCTGGAGCAGCTATGCTTACATTGGACAAAAACATACTTTAAAACAAAAACTGTAATAAGAAACTAAGAAGGGTGTTACATAATGATAAAGGGGCCAACCCAGCAAGAGGATACAGCGTTTTAAAATATTTATACAGCCAACATAGGAGCACCTGAGCTTATAAAGCAAATATTAACAGACATATAGGGAGAAATAGCAGTATAATACTAGAGTACTTTAATACCTCACATCACCACCTAGATCATCCAGGCAGAAAACCAATAAGGAAACATCAGCCTTAAATGACATGTTAGACCATATGGACCTAACAGACATCGACAGAACATTCCATCCAAAAGCAGGAGAATATACATTCTTCCCAAGTGCACATGGAACATTCTCCAGGACAGCTCATATGTTAAGCCACAAAACAGGTCTTAATAAAGAAGACTGAAATCATAGCATGCATCTTTTTCAACCACAATGGAAGGAATCTAGAAATCAATTACAAGAAGAAAACTGGAAAATTCACTAGTATGGGGAGATTAAATAGCATGCTACTAAACCAATGCATCAATGAAGAAATAAAAGAATACCTTGAGAAAAATGAAAACAGAAATACAACATACCAAAATGTATGGGGTACAACCAAAGCAGTTCTCTGAGGTAAGTTTATAACAATAAATGCCTACCTCAATATAAAAAGTTATAGAAGAAAGGGAATAATAAAGTTTCAAGCTGATTCTTTGAAAAGATGAGTAAAATGGCAAACCTTTAGCTAGACTTGCCAAGAAAAAAAGATCCAAATAAGATCAGAACTGAAAGAGAATATGTTAAACCTGAAACCACAGAAGTGTAAAGGATCCTGAGACTAGTATGAACAATTACACACCAACAAATGGAAACCTAAGAAATGGGTAAGTTACTAGGTACATACAGTCTTCTAAGACTGAATCATGAAGAAATAGAAAATTTCTATTCAGACTGATTACTAGGAAGGCAGCTGAATCAGTAATCAAAAACCTCCCAACAAACAGGACCAGAGAGCTTCACTGGTGAATTCTACCAAACACTCAAAGAATAGCAATTTTTCTTACTCTTCCAAAAACTAGAAGAGGAGGGAACACTTCCAAACTCATTTTATGAGCATTTCTCTGTTTCCAAAACTAGACAAGGACACCACACAGACAAAAAGGAAATACAGGCCAATATCTCTGATGAACAGAGATGAAAAATCCTCAACAAAATATTAGTAAACTGCGTTGAACAATTAAAAATCTCATTCACCACAATTTGGATTTATTCCAGGGATGCAAGGTTGGTACAACATCTGCAAATCAGTGTGATAAACCATGTTAAGAAAATGAAGGATTAAAAATCGGATGATCATCTCAATAGATGCAGAAAAGCATCTGACAAAATTCAACATCCATTGATGATAAAAACTCTCCACAAAGTAGATGTAGAGGGAACGTAACTCAATATAATAAAGGCCATATATGACAACCCATAGCTAACATCATACTCAATGGTGAAAAGCTAAAAGCTTTTAACATAAGTTCAGGAACAAGACAAGAATGTTCACTCTCACCATTTTTATTCAACAGAGTACTGGAAGTCCTAGCCAGAGCAATCAGGCAAGAAAAAGAAATAAAAACACCCAAATTGGAAAGAAAAAATGCAATATGTGCAAATGACATCATGTTATATATAGAAAACTCTAAAGATTCCACCAAAAAAAAAAATAAAAAGGAACTAATAAGTGAATTCAATGAAGCTGCAGGATTTGGGGGAAAAGGTAATGGAGAGGCTAGGAGAGGGTATGACCTATGGTTGACCTAGTTGCTGAACTCTGGCAGCTTCTCACCCTTTGGTTTTTGAAATGTACATTCTGCCCACTGTACCCACAGTGGGAACTGCTCCAAGGATGTAGCCTTGAAAGAGTAAGATGTTATTAAGACCATCTGAACAGTATATGGGACTGAGCCCAGTTAATTCCTCCATGTAAACTTTTAAGATTCTGGTGGGCAGGGGTGGAGATTTACTTGCCTATAGCCATCCAAGACAAGCCTTGTAAGTGAGTTCCCCTGTATATTAAGTCTACCACCTACCAGTCTGAAATGGTCTCCCTCTTTCTTCAGTCTATGCACTTTGTGTATGGGGGCCAGTTTGCAAACCAAGAATACAAAATCAATAACAAATTGTTTGGTTTCTATACACTAATAATGAATGATCAGAACGAAATTAAGAACAATCCCATTCACAATCACATCAAAAAGAATAAAATACCTACAAATAAATTTAATAAAGGAAGTGAAAGGCCTGTACACTGAAAACTGTTAAGACATTAATGAAAGAAATTGAAGACAACACACATAAATGGAAAAATAGTCCATATTCATGGATAGGAAGAATAGTGTTAAAATGTTCATATTACCCAAAAGTAATCTATAGATTCAATAAAATCCTTATCAAAATTTCAATGGCATTTTTCACAGAAGTAGAACAAACAAACCTAAAATTTGTATGGAACCACAAAAGACCCCAAATAGGCAGAGCAATCTTAAGAAAGAACTACAAAGCTGGAGGCATCACACTCCCTGATATCACAGTATGATACTGGCATAAAAATAGACACGTGGATCAATGGAACAGAATAGAAAGTGTGGAAGTAAACCCACACGTATATAATCAATAAGTTTATGACAAAGTAAGAATATACAATGGAGGAAGGACAGTCTCATAAATGGTAGACTAGATAACCACATGTAAAAGAATGAAAGTGGACTACTATCTTATATACAAAAATTAATTCAAAATGGATTAGAGATTTGAATATAAGACCAGAAGCCATAAAACTCCAAGAGGAAAATAAAGGCAGTAAGCTCCTTGACATCGGTCTTGGCAATGTTTCAGATTTGACCCCAAAAAGCAAAACAATTAAAGTAAAAATAAACAAGACTACATCATACTAAAAAGCTTCTGCACAGCAAAGGAAACCATCAATAAAATGAAAAAGCAACCTACTGAATGGGAGAAGATATTTGCAAATCTTATCTCTGCTATGGGACTAATATCCAAAATATTTAAAGAACTAATACAACTCAATAGCAAAAACAAAAACACAATCCACTTAAAAAAAATAGGCAGAGGATCTGAACAGACATTTCTCCAAAAAAGACCTACAGATGACCAACTAGGATGTGAAAAGATGCTCAACATCACTAATTATCAGGGAACTGCAAATCAAAAACACCTTGAGATATCACCTCACACCTGTTAGAATGGCTATTATCAAAAAGACAAGGAATGACAAGTGTTGGCAGGCATGTGGAGAAATGGAAACCCTCATTCACTGTTGGTGGAAATGTAAGCTGATGCACTATGAAAAACAGAATGGGTAGTCCTGACAAAAAGAAAAATGGGACTGCCCTATGTTCCTGCAATTCCACTTATGGATATTTATCCAAAGAAAACAAAAACATGAACTCAAAATATAAATAACACCCACCTGGCACATGCTTATTGCAGCACTGTTTATAATAGCCAAGACACAGAAACAACCTCAGCGTCCACTGACACATGAGTGGATAAAGGAAATAGGATGTATATTATACACAGTAGACTATTAACCATAAAAATCAAGGAAATCTTGCCATTTGCAACAACACAGGTGGGCCTTGAGAGCATTATGCTAAGTGAAATGAGTCTAAGACAAACATCCTATAAGACCTTACCTGTGTGTGGCATTAAAAAAAATAATAATAAGCCAAGCTCATAGATCCAGATTGGTAGTTACCAGAGGCTGGAGGTGGGAGGATGGGTAAAATGGGTGAAGGGCTACACATTTTCAGTTACAAAATAAGTGATGGGGATATAATGTACAGCATGATGACTATAGTTAATAATACCGCATTGCATATCTGAAAGTTGCTAAAGAGTAGATCTTAAGAGTTCTCACCATGGCGGGGGAGGGGGGGAATGTTTCTGTTTCTACATCTCTGGCATTGAGATTTTCAGGAAGCAATTTTCCTTTCAAATTACACAAAATTTAAATTTAATGCTTGCAAAAGATGCTGTGATTGACTTACTTGGATCACTTTTGGAATAGAACAGCCAAGAACCATTACAGATGAGCCATATCTACCCATACGAAATTTTTCAACAGTTAATCCTCTATACTACCTGAAGAGCAAACGTGGTTGAGGAGTAAACTTAGGTGAAGTTGGAGCTATTATAGAAACAAAAACTTCAATGAGAACTGTCAAAACAATGTATAAAACTACAAGTACCTATTCTATATATTCTGTGATATAAGGTAGAATTTCAATGGGATAAGTCTACTCTTTGAAATTTATATTGCACTTAATAAATGACCAAGCATATTCACATATACAAAATAAATTAACAGCTTTATATGAAATCAACAAACTCGTAAAAACTGGGCCATAACTTAGAGCATCTTGGCTCTTCTTCAGGAAGTTCGGCAGAATAAACTTATTTTGCATTCTTGATTTTGGTCCGTCTCCCCATGTGAGACCCATGTCTTAAATTTCCAGTTAATATTTCAGCAATCACCTAGCACTACAGAAATACTGTTCTCCTTTTATTTCATATGATGAAACAAGAGGCCCAAACACATTCTCTAAGAATTACGTTTAAGACAGAGCCAGTGAGGCTGCCCCAGGTTACTGAGCCAGATGTCCGCCATGGGCTCCAGTTTCTGAGAGCGCGGGGAAGCAAAACCAGAGGTTCACCACCTATCACAACCGAGATGGCAGATCTGACCCTAGGAAGGTTAAAGATAATAAACTGCCACACCGCATGCCCTACCCTAATTCCTTCAAGAAAACAGCATCTGTTTTATATATCAAAGGAAGGAAGGAAAGATGAGGGCTTGAACAGAGGGAAGAAAGGCCTCTCTCCCTGTGTAGTGCAAGTACTATCTTATTTGAAACTGGTTTAAATTATAACAAGGGAAAAAATCATCATCATTCCCCCCATCCTCTCCTCCCTACCCAAGCTGTAAAGGTAAGCAGAGTGACAATAAAGGGTAAGAGGGCTTAACTCAGGATATGACAAGACAGACCAAAAAGAATAGGGAGATAGGAATCTTAAAACTGGAGGGTGTGGGGACCTCAGACCCCTCTGTCACTTATTCCAGCATTTCTTTAAAAAGAAAATAAAACATTCCTTTTGATCTTTTTGCTTTTAGTGTAAACATGTGTTTTCTGGAATCCATACCCATTTTGATTCTTTGCATTTTGTATATGTTTAGCAATCTTAGGTGTGTGCAGGCTCGGGGGGGCAAGTAGAGAATCCTACTTCTCCCCAGTCTTGTTTATATATATCATTACTGTAGTTTTATATGTGAGTCCATTGTAGAGACTGACCGTTTTTTTCAGAGCATGAATTCTCTCAGCTAAGGAAGAGAAACCCTAAAACAATGAAGAATGCTGAAACTATCATCTAAGTGGAGTCTAGGGCCGTAGGAACTCTTGGCATGGAACATAACGGCATCAAAAACAAGGGCTGGAAAATACCACCCTTAAAGTGGGTTTCTGCAGAAGCACTTTTGTTTAGTACACATGAAGCCGGTTTCTTATTCGTAAGCAGCCTGTCAGGGCCAAGGAGCCCTTTCCTGCATCCCAAAGGTGACCTCTTAAATAGGCGGCCATAGATAGCCCTGTGTTTACAGACGTTTCCACAAGATAAAGTACCATAGCACAAAAAAGCATATTGTCCTAAATGCACCATATGGATCGAAATGCCTCTGTTTACGTATAAGTGGTGAAAATAAATCAGAATGATATCTGGACAAAGCTACACTTTGATATATGAAGAATCTGCACAACTACATGTTTACAGGATGATGGAGCCTATGGTGCCAGATAAGAAAAATGTATTTTGTAGGTAGACCTAAATCTTTATACAGTTGTGATTTTTAACTGACCTCTTTTCATCATGGAGTAGCTTCATGATCATAAATACAAGGAACTTCTGACAGTATAACTCATCGCTTAGAAATAGTTTGTTCCTAGTACCTAAGACAGTTTAAAAAAAAAAAAAAAAAAGGCTTTACTTACCCCAGACAAGGACAATGTATCTCAGTGGAATGAAGTACACGATGACTGTGAACACACAGAGGGCTACAATGGCCAGCCAGCTTAAGAATGGGACAGTCCAGTTGAAAGTACTGAATGAGAAATTAACACATCAGCAATCTGAGCACTTCATACTTTTTTCAAACAAAGGTTCAAATAAATGTGATTCTGACTCAGCCTCTGGACTAGGGATCTGGTAAGACTGCATTTCTCTCTGGAACAGAAGGCGATTGTAGTGAGCCTATCAGAGGACACAGGTTGGTCACAATGTGCTGAGTTTCATGAAAGCAGGACCCACGCAAACAAGTCTTGCCATCAACCCTTACAGATGGTCCCGAGTGCCTTCAGGGTCTGAAGTTGCACTAGTTGGGGGACTCCTAATGTGGTTAAAAAAAATTTATTTTTAATGTGTTTTTCTACCTCTAAAACTAGTAGCCAATCTTGTTTTCTCCCAATTTTCATAGAGGAGAATGCCCCTGGGCCTACCATTCTTTCTTCTGTCAACTCACACTGGATTCCAGACACTGGAAATAAAATGTCAGCAACTGTCTGTAGACTTAACTCTTACACTGTTGTATAAATCCTCCCTAGGTTAGAATTGCTTTGAGGGATACTCCCTTTTCACTTCAGTTATGTTTCCAATGGATCTAGAAGTCAGGAAGGGGGAAGAGAGTAGTCAGCCTTGTAAAAATTCACCTGCCATCATTGCCCTTCCCAGAAATACAGAGATAATTAGGAAAGAAGGTCAGTATTGACTACTGTTCTCCCTGTGTTATTTCTGGCAAAGGAGAACACATGGTAAATGTGCTGGAAAGACTGTGAAAATGGAGCGTAAGCTGGCAAAGTGGGTTATAGCGGGGCCTGGCCGATGGGACTGCAGTGTCCCCACACTGCTGTTGATGGATAGTGTTGGGGGTCGGGGAAGGCTGCAAGACTGCACATTGGCAGTGAGGTAACATTAGAACAAAGAACAAAAACAGGATCAATGAACAGAAGTGGGGGAAGTTGCAAAAAAGACAGGACTAAGAAGATGGGAAGGAATGCAGTGGGGCAAAAAGAAAAAAAAAAGAAGGTAAAAAAAAAGGATGTAGAAAATCAGGGAAATGGAACATGGAAAGATTGTAATAATTTAGGAGTTTTTGTGTGGAAATTCTGTAGTGACTCTCATTGCAAAATAGTAAGACCGAACTGTTGCATGGAGTCTTCAGCGTTGGGTATGTAACTATGTCACCGTTTACAGGCATCCAGTTGCCTCAACAACCAGCCTCCAAGGAGGACCTAACACATACTGTTGAGTGACACTTGAGTGCAGTTTAATGAAAAGAGCAAAGAAAGTATCCGATCTGCACTCAAAGCCTAGATTCTGCCGTAGGACTTTGGGGGAATCAACCTTTCATTACCTCAACTTCCCCGTTTAAAAATGAGGACAACTTGTATCGAGGTGGACTGGTAGTGATGGTAACGTGTGAATCAAAGTGACATTTTTAGAGCTAGTCCACTCTCGGGGAGCCTACCACGGTGACAAGGGCCCCCAAAACACCTCCCAAAAATATGAAATTATACGTGACATGGAGAAATGTGGATTTTTAAATTTTCTCTCATTTCCTGGTTATGTATGTTATGTACACCTGGGGTGGGGTTTGTCCAGGGCCGTTTTTGATCCAGTAAAGGAGGATTAAAAGATTTTCTTCCTATCTTTCCCTTCAGCATAACACCTAGGAGTGAATCCTTAGCTCTGTGGGCATATAGCTTGCCTTTTGTGTCTGCTTAAGGTCCAGTGTTTTCTAAAACTGTTTTTCCTAGTAAAAGAGCCAAAATTAGATCAGTCTCGTTGTCTTGTTTTCAGTAACTCTTGGGAACTAGCTTTTCTCTTTGTCTTTTTCCTCCCATGGCCAGAGTGAGCGCCCTGTTTAACTGTCACCTGGGGAAGGATCATGCCTTTCTCCCTTCACTGACACTTGTGAAGAGAACAGAAGGCTGAGGGTCTGTCTGCTTGCTTTCCTGGGGCTTCGCTCAGAGCCATCCATCAACACTCTTCAGTGTGCAAGGGCACTGGCTCGTCAGTCAGAAAACCCTTTTTTTGGGCAGCCTCCCTGAAGGGCTCCCTGTGTTCTTTCTCCTCTTGGAAGGATAAGTGGCAAGGAATCCTTATCAGTGTAGCTAATGTCAGAGAAAAAAAGACTGCCCTTTTCTCTTTCCACAGTGCATCAGGAAAACTAAATCTAGACTATGATCTTCCCCCAAAAAAGATGCAATTCAAGAAAGTTCTGGAATGATTACTTAGTAACAAGATGTAATTATAGAGGCTTTTCACTTTGTACTTAATGACTGCTTCTGAATCTGCTTTCTGGATAGATGCATTTTATCTCATGCAACCCCAGGGGACTTTCTGTATTTTAATATTCAGAAAAATTGTGCAGAAAAGATGGCTCCTGTAAGAATCACTGGAACCTATGCATATTTCTGTACTTCATCCTATACCTATGCCTCTGTCTCTTAACTGTGGAAAGTTCTACAAAACTCAGTTTTTCCCAAGGCTGGTCCACACCCAGGATCTGGCCATATTCTTCAACTGGCTATGATGTTTTCTGGCCAAGCACCTGAGGTCCCCTACCACCCAGAGTTACAAAGAAGCTTCTTCCTCTCAGGCATAAATTTGCCCCACCTCAGAGCTGACCCAGCGTCTTAAAGGTGTAAATGAGATACTTCTATCAGGTATCAACACACAGTGTACCTCAGAGAAAGGACACACTCAAAAGGGAAATGCCCTGTTCAGGACTAAACACTTGGCTCTAGTGGAACAAAGGAACATTCTTAGAAATGGAAATAACGTGGAGAGGAAGAAGAAAAAAGATGTAGGAATCAGTCTTCAGAAGTCTGAGACTGAAGGCTGCTATACATTTGGAGTGAGAGGGAGGCTGTTCTATCTAATATGATATAAAAAAAAAAAAAAGGAAACTCAGCATGTATGCATATGTGGAAATGTATTAAAAAATTATACAAAGTAAAATGCATTATTCCCTGAAACATGAAAAGCAGTAGGTAAATGTCTCACACCTTTAGTTTAAATAATTTACTGCTTTCAAATGTGTATGCCCAAGGATTCAAATCTGTGGAACACTTTTGGTGAATAATAAGATAAATAATAAACAGTGAATTGATACATGACACTAGGAAGGTGTAGGCTTATCCGGATATACAGCACCCCTTCTTGAATAGACGACTTAGCAATCATTATGTAGCAAATTTTCACATACTTTAGTAGTATGGGGCTTCAGTATATTTTTAACTGATCATCAATACTTGTGAATCCACCTTATTGAATTACAGTTGTTTTTAAAAGTTCATTAGTAAATAAAATTATTTCAAGTAAAATACAAATAATGTAAGACTATAATAATATTCTTATATTAAGAATACTCTAGAGGGGAGGGTGATGGGTATTAAAGAGGGCACGTACTGCATGGAGCACTGGGTGTTATATGCAAACAATGAATCATGGAACACTACTTCAAAAACTAATGATGTAATGTACGGTGATTAACATTATGTAATAAAAAAAAGAACATTCTTAAGAATATTCTTGTATTCTTAATTTATATTAGCTTTCAATGCAGCTATATTTTAAATTAGGAAAGGGATTCCTTTTTTTTTAATTATTAAAAGTGCATTAGTTTAGTTCATCTGTAACTATGACCTCAACTATTTAAATACATAAATTTGAAAATATTTTTGCAGGTTGCTACATAAAATATGATTTTTAAAAAAATTTTAGAGTTCCTCAATGACAGTATAAGTCAACCAATAATAAAATGAAGATGTGTCTTGATTACCTGAAATTCTCATCTAGCTTGGTTTATTTTTTTCCTATCACGATTTCATATTCCATTTAAGAACAAAGTCTTTCACTTGAAAATGTGCTAAAATTTAGGACGGTGTTATTTCTTCAAAGCTACAAGTAGGACTTCTTTCCAACCAATATGTTCTAAATTTCAGGAAGGAAATTGACAGAACTTTCACAAAACCAAAGACTGGCAGAAACAAAGTAAATAATGAAGAAACTGAGCAATAGATCACCCAGAAGGAGTCTCCCCTGCCAAAAAGAATGTGGCATTTCACCCTCTGAAAAACAAATGGACACTCTGTCCCACAGAAGGCCAGGGCTCACATGTCAGTATCACTCACTCACTTCTTTATCCTTTCGCCAAAGGAAGCCACTTCATCTAGGATGTTCTGGACACTGATACAAACCTCCTGGATGGCATAGATTTTATTTATAAATCCCTTTTTTTCACTGTCCTAAAATACAATTAAGAAAAAAGAGAGATTCTGTGTGAGTAAAGGTATTCTTCAGTGCTTGAATTCTTTGAATTGTCCCTCTCACATTTTTAAACGTAAATCAACTTCATCTTTGTACATACATAAATGGATGCTTGGAGCCCATGAAAATTTCCGGATATAAAGGGAGATGGAGGAGGAAGGACACCCAGCATCGTGGACCTATGCCAATAGAAAGGTGGTGGCAAAGCACCAGACTCAGATTCTGTCGATCTTGCCCTGATGAACAGAGACACTTTAGCCAGAGTTGGGGGGAGGGGAAGCATGCAAAGGTGTAGGAGAGAGGGCAGGTCTCAGAATGTCCAAATCTGGAAGACCTGTGAGCAATGAAAACGGGGGGGGGGGGGGGGGGGGGAGAAGGTCAACTAAATAGACACTTCCTAAGTAAGTAGCTTAGGACGATCAGATACAAGGTGAGCCAGGCCCACCTCTGAAGTGTAACAGTCCCATACTTGATACAATAGCAGATGCTGTTTCAGGGTTCTAACTAAACATTTTTCTCCCTTGGTACTTAGTTCTTCATTTTAAAACTTGTCCTGGATTGAAGCAAAGCTGGTGTACTCCAGGGAATGGGTGGGTGGGATTGAGCATAAAGCACCCAGAGAATGGTGCGAGCCTGAGGGAAATGTGCACATTTTGTAATTTTAGACCCAGAGGAAGAAATAGTGGTGGCCTTTCACGATTGAAATTTCTGCTTAGTAGCCTGGCATCACAGGCCCTTGCCTAGGCTGTTTGGTGGAGACCATCCAACCCTGATTCCATGACTCCATTCCTCCATGCCAGCTTGAAGATCTATGGAAATGTAGATCCAATTTCATTACTTTAACTTCTTTTGAACACTTCCACACTGTGCCAGAACACTTGAGACCTCATGTGGCAGTCAGTGCTTGCTGAAAGCAGCCAGAAAGCTGGAATAATAATGTCGTCATGTTGCACATTTACATACTGCCTTTCACTTCAGAAAAGTCGAAAGCACTTTGCACTGTGCGCGTGGCTGGGCGTGGCATCCTGCCACCTTCGAAACTGAGGGCAAGTGAGTGGCCGGTGTACGTGCAGCATCCCAGAACAACAGGGTACAGTGGGACTGAAGACACGGAGGCCAGTTTTAAACAGCATCTTTAGGTAGAAGTTACTCAGAGCCTTCATTTTAAATACAATTCCCATGGGAGACAATTGTCTACAATATTCATCTTGCTTGTACCAAGTTGGACTGTCAGACGAGGAGGTACTTGAGATGCATAAGGTTCAAGGTATACGGAACAATTACGTACTCTCAGGGTCCCCGCTCTCTCCAAAAGTCACCCTTCACTTGTCATTACTGACATGAATGCATCAATTGCTTGTCTTTTTTCCCTCCCCAGCAATAAAACAAAAAGTGTATTAATTCCACCTATGCAGTTTTACACTTTAGGGGAAAAAAAAGGATATCCAGTGGCTCCTTCTGTTGTTTCCTAATTACAAAGCTGGTTTGTTCTAATCATCTCCATGGCCTTCAGTGTTTTCTCTCTCGAGCATCGGCTAAATTCATTGATGTCTTATGAAGTAAAGTGCTCTTAACAAATATTTTTCTGCATACAGAATAAATCAAGCTGGAATCGAAGAAGGCTGGTTACACAATCAAAATTCATTGAAAATAATGTCTTACCCGTTTGAAATGATCATGTGAAAAAAAGATTTTTCACAATGGCAATAAAATCTATAATCACTTAGGCATAACCTTAATAAGAAATGTACAGAATCTACATTAAGAAAATAGAGATACAGTGTTTTTGCACTGGAACACTGATTATTAAAAGAATCTATTCTTTTCTTCTGTTGAACATATAGGTTTAATGCATTTTCAAGGAAATCCTAATGTGCTTGGAGTGCAGTGAAATGGGGAGAATTTGATAAATTTGTTTGGAAAAATAAATTGAATGCTATAGCCAAGAAATTTTTGCAAAACAGAAATAATGAGAAAGCATTTATTGTACCAGATATCTAAGTAATTAAAATATGAAAGATGAACACTAAAAGAGAGATTGTTTTATGATAAAGCACCATCATAAATCCACCATGCAGATGAACGTAGTATGTTACTGGGTACTTGTGTTAACTATTTGCAGAAAACTATGTTAAATCCTACCTAAATAGACTCTCAAGTCTACTTGAGGTAGCCCAATTCTACCTCAGATCTACCTTAAATAGATAGTCCCAAATACATTTTAGGTTAATTAAAAAGCAAAAAGCTAAAGGTGAATTATAAAAACAGAAGAAAATATAGGTAAGTTATTTAGTGACCTTGGAATAGGAAATAACTTTTTAAACATGCAAAAAGTGAAGGAAGTCACAAAGGAAAAAAAAAACGATAGCAGGAGTTACATAAAATAAAAAACTTATGGGGCGCCTGGGTGGCTCAGTTGTTAAGCGTCTGCCTTCGGCTCAGGTCATGATCCCAGGGTCCTGGGATCGAGCCCCACATCAGGCTCCCTGCTCAGTGGGAAGCCTGCTTCTCCCTCTCCCACTCCCCCTGCTTGTGTTCCCTCTTTTGCTGTGTTTCTCTCTGTCAAATAAATAAAAAATCTTTAAAAAATAAAAACAATAAAAACTTATGATGTCAAAAATTCTTATTAATTTATAAGGGTGATGGGAAAAAATTTGCAACACATATGACAAATCAAGGGATGGGATTTCCAATATATTCAATAAACATCTGAAAAAAACTATCACTGCAGTTTTGTTTATAATAACAAAAAAAATCACTGACATGTTGGGTAGAATTAATTATGGTATATACAACTGATATACTATTATGAAATTACAAAATATTATTTAAAGAGAATAATTAATGACAGCAAAAATGCTTATGATCTAATAGAAACTGGGGTTGGGGGGCGGTAAACGTGAGATGGAGTATACTCCTGTTTTTTGAAATGGGTAGGGCTAGAAAAAAAATGAAAATGTGTCAAAATATTAAAGGTAATGGAAGTTTATTTTCTTCTTCATACCTTCCTATAATATTAATAATTCTTTGCAATTAACATATTTCACTTTTGTAACCAGATTATTTCCCTGATTTTCTCCAATATCATTATTGAAGGAACTTGAGTAGAAGAAATAAAGGAATTGGTATTCGTTGATCATATTAGGTGGTTTATCTATTTCTTTCTTGATTTTTGTATTTTTTGGATTTTTGTACCTATTTAAAATTATTTTTAGAAAGCAGCAGAATATAAACAGACACTAGCATTTTAACATGCTTTTCACATGGCTTATTTGGTCTTCACAACCATCCGACAATGTAGTTATTTTTCAGGACTCTACAGAAGAAGAAATGAAGGATCCAAGAAAAGTGACAGGTCAGGACTTTGACAGGCCAACTCGAGGTCTGTTCTCTCCATAATATACCACGTTACCTTACCGTCCTACCCAGGAAGCTTTCTGTTCCTACCCAGAATCCCTGTGTGATAAATAAGAACAAAAGACTTGAAAACATTTAGAAACTTACCCTGTAGGCACCACGATCAGCAAGATAATAAAATCCAGAAACTTGACTCAACAGTAGGAAGTGAAAGATGTGTTAGAAACCACCAGATGTAATGTCAATAAGGCAGTGTGTGAATATTAAATACAGGAGCTTCATTAGTAAGATGTGTCACTGAAGGCATCTACAAAAACTACTTTTAGTAGTACTTTAAAATCTTATGTGCTGATGATACATAATTACTGGCTAAAGAGTTTTAAAAATTTGCTCACTCTTAATTTTCTATTTCTTTTGTACTTCCACACCACTACCCAGCCCCTCACCCCCAAACACCCAAAACCAAAATAAGATGGTCTGTAATGTTGTTTTGAAAAGCAAATGCTTTGGGATAAAATTTTTATTTAAAATCTCTTTCATCAAATCCTATATTCCTCCACTGTGGTCCCCAACCAATGAAGTAATTACTCTTTATATACAGTATATGACCGAAAACTGCAATGGGTAATGGAATTGCTCTGTGTTGCATTCCAATATTTCACACTTTTTTCACTAATGTTCAATACTTTATTAGTAGAGAATAAATTGGTACATTTCTTTTATTGTCGTTTTTGCTTTCCTTTATAAACCAGCTTGGATGAAAGAAGTATCATAGGGTGGGTAATCATCCAAAGGCTTGGTAGTGACACTGGGGTTTTTTTTGTTTTGTTTTGTTTTCTTTTTTAATGCATTATTAAGGTTTCTTTTGAAGATGTAAAAAAAAAAAAAAGCTACCCATAAAAAAGAGCTATAACTATAAATCTGAGAACATGTGAGATTTATATTGTACAACTTTTTCTAATGGCTCTATATAATTTTTAAAAATCTTATATTTTAAATAGTCCACAAAACATCAATAACTGCAAACTTGAAATACAGTGGTTCTTTCATATTCACCTACTTTACAATCACATATCACAACAGAAAGTTAACTAGATTTTTCCAAAGAACTATCTACCGCCTAGCTTTGAAATATTTAGGAAAATCTAAGGATCTAAAGAATCAGTAGGAGTACCTTCCATATTTAGAGAATCTTGTCCATTGACTTTCAAACCCAAATGACAAGTACCCCATTCACTGGTTCTGTTCTGAATGGGAACAAGAACCCAGAGTGATAGGTGTCAGGGGACATGTATTGTGTGGCTGGGTTCCTCGTGCATCCAGCTGCATCCCGCCCCAGTCACGAATGCTATTTAGGGGCCCTGCCAAACTAGTCACTGTCAGCCCTGTTGACAGGATAGAAAAATGGCTCTGCTGGACACCTGTGCTCTATTGAGCACACAAATACGTAGAATATGTTGGCTCAAAATATTTGTTCTAGAGTTAATATTTCAATAACTTTCTAGAGTGAAAGAATGTCTTAAGAATGCGAGGGAGCAAAAAAAAAAAGGAAGGAAGGAAGGAAGCAGATATTGACTTGACTTTTACGCCAGGAGAAGCATAAAGCAGAACTGACTCAGCA